TTTATGAAATGTAGTGTCGCGAAATTCTTAAAGCCTACCCTGTGTACGCGCGCGACCTTCACATGGCAACCGACTCGTGATCAAAGCAACGTTGACGTGTGAAAACAGTCGGACCGCGTCTCGAATATACAAGAAACGACGGAATGCCTGCCGCTGATGCACTAGAAACAGCTGAAACGGCGGGGAGTGCCGTTTAGTCATAGAAATGGAATGTTCGAGAGCCTCTCGTATCTTCCAGTAGCGGAGTTGGACTAATATAAATAGCCGACGTATCGGCGCCGAGTTTAGTTGATTATAGACAGTTTAGTATAGAACATTGTATTGAAAAGTTAAAGTGTAAGAAATAAATTAGAATTGTTAGTTAGTGTCTAAGTATTATATAAATTAAATAGTACATCTGAAATAAATTGTAAATAGTGTGTTTTTAAATAAACAAACTAAAAATAAATTAGACTTTCGTTACAGTAGGTTAAAGGGAAGGACTGGGATAACAATGTCTAACACCCCAGTCCTTCCCTTTAACCTACATTTCATAAAGAAATATGTGATTTCAATAAATGAGGGTTTTTAAATTGTGATTTATTGTTATTTTATTGAATTAATTTTTTATGTAATTACGAAGGTACTGAACTATGTTTTATTCTAAGTATATATGTATAAAAGTTTATGGTCTTAGATCTACAATAAACGAATGTATAAGAGTAAAACAAAAAATGTTGAAAACATGCAAATTCATATGTTTCTCTCAAATTTTTAATAATAATTATGGTCGAATTTCGACCACTGGGAGAACACTAGTAATAAACAAAATAACTTAATAAAAATAACGAACTCAAAGTAAATGTTGTACGTGGCATTCTACTTCTACGGCTTTTCCTGTTTTGTTTTGATGAAAGACTTTCTAACATTAAAATAAACAATATTAACCGCATCTTGTAGTTTTTCCCAGAGTACATTTTGTAAAGGAATTTCACTGGCAAAACTAAGGACTTGCGCTTACTCCATGTGCCAACAGTTATGATTCACCCTGTATAAATTTAAAAAGTTAAATTCTAAAATATTTTTTGCGTAAATTAGTGCTTTTTATTCCTAGAATACTCCTTATTACACGTTTTTTTTTGAGCTAAAATCACGTCTTCTACATTTGTTGACAATCCTCAAATCCATAGGGCAAACGGGATTCTATTTATGGGTAATAGATCATTAAAAGCTGCTCGTATTATGATGGTGGTTTGGGTTTTCCGAACTTTCTTCACCTGTAAGTAAAACGGGACCCTCAATCACCTGTAAGCCGCCTCGGAGCGCCACGAGCAATATAAATGTCATGCTAGCCATTTTTGACCAGTTCGATCATGCTATAATCCCTTATTTGGGCCTTTTATTTTCCCGTTGGCAAGAATATTCGATGAAATAAGTCAACCTATGAAACCCCTTGTGAGACGCATATGGTCGACATCAGTCGAAGTGAATCATCCGATCCAGAGTGTACTAGAATGATGACGAAACACCTAAAGACGATTTCTGGGGAATGCACCAGTTTAATAAATGGTGGATCCGACGATGTATGTTCTGGTTGTGGCCGATTCTTAGTCTTCCAAGTCTGGAGGGTAACATTTGTAAATAAATAGGCTGTTTGCCGTTAACAGTTTTTACTTTCCTATCTGTATACAGATATAAGGAAAGTATAGGAATCATGATTTTTAGTTACGATATCATTCTGTTCACATACATATTGTCAATGTAAATTAGTGAATAAGTAAATGAGATATAAATAAGTGCTGCATTTAGTAAAAATAAATTGATTTATAAAATAAATTAGTATCTTAGTGAAAATAAATAAAAGTTACAATAATAATATCCGTCCCTATCCCGCACAAGCTCGACTTCCGAAGTTAAACTTCACTCGTAAGAGGGTTTCTCGTATGATGGGCTTCAGACTGAACAGAGAGGTGAATAATAGGCAGAGTAGTATTATATTATTATTATAGAAGCTACATCAAATAATAATAATAGTAATAGAAAACAATTTTGAAAATTGTGTTTCTTAATTAATCGAGTATAAAAAAAAATCCGAACGCCCTTGTAAGACTGTTAAAAATATGGACGGTTGTAGAAATCTAAATATTTAACTTTTACCAATTTCAGATACTTAAAGAAAGACAATAATAATTATAATATATAGTGCATAAATTAAAATGTTTTTAATTATTTTAAAAGTGTTCTTTAAATTGTATAAGGGTCCTTGGATTATATATTTTTTGATAGAAATTTATATTTGCATATCTATCAAGGTTTATTTTTTGGTTTGAGAATTAACGTCAAAAATTTTGATTTGTCCTGCATAAAAAATCAATTAGAATTCACGTGATTATAAAAATACCGATATTGCTAATAAAATTATTTATAAAATTGTTTATGAATTTACCATTTTAACAATTTAATGGTTCAAGCAAAAATGTTTTCTTGTGTAATTTAGCATGGGAATATTCTCCAAATTACTATCATGCAGAACTAACCTCGGATTAATTAATCAAAACTAATTTTATATAGGGTAAGTAAAAAAGTTGAAAGACTCTGTAAAACGTTTATGACTATTTTTTTAACACGTATTTTTGAAAATACTAAATTATACAAACAAGGCAATAAGAAAATGTCATTAAATTAAAAGATTTCAGGTTTGTATGCAACACACAATCTAGGCTAGAGGGTAACACCATTGATAATTACAGGCAAAATTAACTTTATATAAAGTAATTAAAAGTACATACCATTTCTTAGGTAAAGTTTCTCGTTATGAGCATATTAAATTAGCTGGTTGATCCATTTTTCCGATTCAGACTTTTAAAGTGAAAAACCATTTTTGTCTCTTTATCTTTATCAAACGTTTATTGTACATTTTTATTTCCATAATCAAATTTTTCCTTTTAGCGGGTTTTGTGAGAAACAAAAAATTTACAAATTTTTGCTTACTTCTTACTTCATAGTATTTACAGTTGGGTACAAAATAGACCATTTTGAAGTAGTCTTAGAATGGTCTTAGACACAGAAACAAAATATAAAACAAATCAGATTCGTAAAAGTTCATTATAGTTAAATAAAACAACAACAACTTTAAAAATACTTTTATTTACCTTAGCTTAAAGAAGTTTTTCGGGAACAATCGTTGAATTGACAAACATACTTTCAATTTTTTAATGTCACAGTTCTTAATTAAACACATTTTTTTAAATGAACACAAATAAAATAATATTATTTTATTTAAAGCGCTTCATAGTAGAGGAATGACGGAAGACGGAATGACAGTGTGTTTGATTTGGTACAGTGTTGCCAGAATATGTTTTTGTTATGTACCAGATTTGTCTAAAAAATGTACCAGATTTTTAGAATTATATTTGCAGTGACATCTAATTCATTGAAGACAAAAAAAGGGAATCTTTATTGATAACAAACCCAAACAAAGAATTATTACACGTGAACACTGATGCACGCAGAATTTACTACATCTAGTGCAATTGTGAATTGTACTAGACTGGCAACACTGGTTTGGCAACTTTGTTTGTGAGCGGCGCGCCAATTAATGTGTTCTTCTGCAGTTTGAAGGATCTGTTGGGGGTGTTGTCTTCTCTTTTTAGCTATATGCATTCGCCAAATCGTCTCACTCGTGTTAGGCTCACTAATCATAATGCGCCACACAGTATACTGTGCCACAGAGACACGATCAGCCAGAGGGCAAAAAATATAGATTAACACGTATGAAAATAAAAATGTTAAAATTAAATTTAATTTTTATTTATGTAATTTTAAAATAATGTGTTTCTATGAAATTTAACTGGGTATTCATTGCAAAAATGAACCAATGGAGAAACCGCCCCTGGATATAAGCGAGATTTCAAATTTTTAGAGACACTAAGGACCCTACGCTCACCAAATACGGATGCGATATGCATTTTGTGCAAATAAATCATTAATGAATTGTTCGTAAGGGTAGAGAATTTTAGATCGAATTTTGTAAAATTTTAACAGAAAGGGTTTTTGTTAATTATATAGGACGCAAAAAGAAAAAAAGGAATGTTTTTTTTTGTTTATTTCGTTAAATATCTTTTAAATCATACTGCATACGAATTATAAACTACCTATATATTTTTTTAAACGGTTTGAGATCTATTATTAACATGTATGTAATAAAAATTTAAAAAACCTTAATAAAAACACCATGCAGAGTCTATAACTTTTTGTATTTCCCTGTATAAAATATGATGTGGATTAATCAAACAGAGGTTATTACTGCGTGATAGTAATTTGAAGAATATTCTCATGCTAAAGTAAAAATCTAAATTCCATTTTCAATAATTTGTGATTCACCCTATAACAAATATTAATTTACATAATAGGTTAAATTGAAAATATTGTTTAATATCAGTAAAGCTTTATTCTTAAAAAATAACTGTAATCAAAGAGATTTTTTAAAAAATATGGCATTTTTAAAAATATCTAATTTCCGCCTTTCACACCCTGTATATAAAAATATTGTTCATAGGATAGATTTGGACCCATAGACACTTTTGTTCAGAAGGTCGAGTACTACAATTTATATCAAAAATTTAGACAATTTAACCTAGTACCAAGGTCCGTTAAACCAAAAAATGTTAATTGGTACTATTATTAAAAATAAACAACGTGACAAGCTGAATACAATCAGATATTAAAGCAATATAAATGTGAGGTAACTGTTCGAAAAAGTGTGTAGTAATTTGATCGGTTTTAGGAAGTCGAAGTCTACCTATCTAAATTGAGGGCGGAGAACAAAGGCCTTAGCAATAGCAATAGTAATAGTAATAGTAATAATAGCAATAGCAAAAGCGAATTTCGCGAAGTGAATGCTATGCAAGAAGGAAAAACACCATGATATTAGCCAAATTCAAAGAGGGGATTTGAGTTTTCTCTTCTAGTCCCCACTGGCAAATCGGACTTAAGAGAAACTTTCAATTCTACGGCGATACAGTCAGTTAAAGCACTTGTTGCGACAAAATCGGGCGCGCACTCTTGCTGTCACATTTGAGGAGAATTTCGTTTTCCGCTGCATACATGGAGAAGTGCTCTTAGCTCCTGCGTGTGACATTTTAGTGTCTGGATCATCTCTAGTGAATCGCTACAACCCTAACGGTTTGGTATCCACGATATCCACGAAAATGGTGATCACCCTGGCTTTTTGGCTTTTCCTTTCAATAGGTAAGTCCGCACTTATCATCCCCCAGCGGGGGTGGTATTTTTTTTTGTTGTATGTGTATAAATATTTCGAGTTTGAGCACGCATACACTTGCGATGCTGTTTTAAATTACAAATCTACCCATTTATTTCGCGTTTATTATGCTCAAATAAGAAATCCTATTTTATTATGTTCGATAAAATCTAACTATTAACAGACGTGGTAGGTACGTTTTTAAATAAAAATAATTAATCTGTAATTTGCACCCTTATCAGGAGATTATATAATTATAGGTGCGTAGAAATAGGGCAGGTTTTAATTATCCAATTAAAATATACGCATTGTTTTAAATCATCTTTTATAAAAAATCTATTAATTTTATTTATATTTAACAAGGGGATTTTTTTAAGAAAAAATAATCAAATAATTTTTAATGACAGAGTTATAAAAATTACAATTCATTTGAACTAGCCAAAATTCATTCAAAATATTTCGGTATAGATGCATTTCTCAAAACTTGATAGATTTGTAATATTTTAGCGTCGAAATTTATTAAATGCCATAAATATACGTATTTTAATGATACTAATTAGATTAAACTCATTTTTAATTATATTGGCTATTTTTTATAATAATAATATTAATATCAATGATTTATTCACCAATGGTAGTGTACAGTAGATGTTTACAATATACAAATTAATTTAAATAAAGCAAAGGTAAATAAACGAATTATATGCTCGAATAAGTTTTAAGAAGAACTTGTGTATAAGCTGACACATTTATTTTATTGTTCCATTTTTCATATAATTCGTAATGACATTGTACCCCGATTTTTTTATAAAATAGTATTAAAATTAATAACATTAAAATTCAAATATAAACTAACACAATTGACAGTATTTAAATTAAAAACATTAAAATTAAAAACATTAAAATTAAAAACATTAAAATTAAAAACATTAAAATTAAAAACATTAAAATTCAAATATAAACTAATACAAACAATTGACAGTATTAAAATTAAAAACATAAAAATTCAAATATAACTAACACAAACAATCATGTTATAACAAATTTGTAAGTCATTCATTTCCGCAAAGTTTTTTTTTTCTTTTCGGGGCTCAAGTTAAATATTAATCTACATATAGAAAAAAATATTCTCACCAAGTTTAAGCGCTTAATATCAATTTTAAGTACTTAATATTTGAATTAAAATTTTACCATTTAAAATGCATGTAAAAATTTTTTTTTTAATTTCTAATGCTTACCCACCTTTTACAATAATGCAAATCGGTTTAATGGACCTTGTGGTGAATTTAATGCTCTTCGAAATTGCCTGAGAGTTTTTTGTGTAACTCGTACAGATTCACCAGTAGGAGACAAATTTTTTTCGAGCAAACCGCCAAAAGTAGGGAGAAAAAAGGGCTGACCAATATTTAATGAATTTACAGCCATTTTTGTAACTGAAAACGTAAGAAATTGATAAATACTGACTCATAATGTTATTTAGATTAATTTTTTCTATTGATTACCATTATATTTCCCTACACTAAGAACTTTTTTTAGAATTATTATGATTTCTCACTCATAATGAATATATTTTCGAAAAACGTAAAATTTCCCATAATGTCCATCAAACCGATTTGCAATATTGTAAAAAGTGAGTAAGCATTAGAAATTTGAAAAAAAATGATTTTTACATGCATTTTAAGTGGTAAAACTTTAAATTTAAATAGTAAGTACTTAAAATTGATATTAAGAGCTCAAACTTGGTGAGAACTTTTTTTTCTACAGGTAGAATAATATTTTGCTTGAGCACAAAAAAAAAAGAATTTTTTGTGGAAATAAATCACCCTATTACAGACATTATACACTGTTTTCTTGACTACATTTTTATATTTAATTTTTTATATTTTTGGTATTTTTTTATTGTATTTGTTTGTATTTTCTTTAGCTAATTTTTTGTTGTTTTATTTTAGAATCCGTGATTATTTAATAATTTAACACTTATATATTAACATGGATAAATAATATAATAAAATATTAATCTATTTTGAGACAAGATCCATTGTTTCAATTTTCTTTTGAAACTTTGACGACTGATATTAAAATTTAAATTATTTTTATATTCACAAAGAGGTTCTAGATTATATAAGAATCAATAAAAATTCTTGATAAATTTAAAAATATTTTATATAATAAGAGTACCTATATAAAATTGTATACTTGAATTTACTAACAGTACTAATCTTAATATCTTCTTACATAGTTATATTTTGCGAAAATATATATATATATATATATATATATATATATATATATATATATATATAAAAATAAGGCAACAGTATGTGAAGTAAAACATTATTTCAAATAGAATCTAAATAAAAAAGTATTTTTACTTTCCTATCTGTATACAGATAAGAAAAGTAATGCAATCATGATTTTTTTCGACCTAGAGTTTTCGACCATTTTTTACGTTTTGGGATCCCCTGAATCCGTTTTGACTATTTTCGCGATGATGTCTGTGTGTGTGACTGTATCCTCGATAACTCATGAACGGATACAAAGAAAAAGACCAAATTTTAAACTTAAGCTTTATTCCGGCTTCCAGTGAATTGATTTCATTTTGGGCAAAGTCGGAAAATGTGGGGGGTTCTTTATAAGTGGTCATTTTTATATTTTATGGAATATATCTGTTATTTACGTTTTGAAAAGAAAATTCTTTGAATAAAAGTTGCTTACAATATTATTACCTATAATTTTTGTTGTATACAAAATTTTCCTTAAATGGCCCGTAATTGAGAAATTTGACAAAATGTAAAAAAATAATTTTTTATAAAAATTGTTTAAATAAAAGTTGTTTGTAATATAATTCTCTATAATTTTTATTCTATATATAATTTTTATAAAATGGACCGTATTCGAGATATTTGAGAAAATGTGTAAATTAAGAATTTTAAAGAAAACTAAAAAACAGATAAAGGAAAAAAGAATAAATTTTAAACTTTATTTTATTTCGGAATGAGGGGTACTTTAGAGGAGGTCGTTTTTATATTTTATGGAATATATCTGTTATTTATGTTTGGAGAAAAAAATTGTTCAAATAAAAGTTACTTCTAATATTATTATCTATAATTTTCGTTTTAGGCCAAATTTTCCTGAAATGGTCCATATTCGAAAAATTTGACAAAATGTGCAAAATTCTGATTTTTAAGAAAATTGTCGAACTAAAAGTTGTTTGCGATATCGATTTCGATAATTTTTGTTTTTTACATTTCTAAAATGGACCGTAATGGAAAAATTGGAGAAAAAGTGCTAAATTTAAATTTTTCAGTATTTTCGTTTTCAATGAATATCTATAGAAAAATGTTTCGCGTTAGATGTATGTGGAAAATGTATATATTTAGTTTATCCTCTAAACAATTATAGACGTGCTGCAATAGATTGTACAAAATAACCGTAAAAGTCTATAATAGCTAGATAGGAAAGTCATGTGTTGGACACATCAGATTTTTTTTATATTAGGGGAATTTGTAAAATTGTGTATATATTTAGTTAAATATAACCGCATGAGCTAACGTCTTCATTACATTACCATTAAGGTAAATGTACCAATTACCGGCACTGTACCAATTATCGACACTAATTCTCTATAATCCCGAAAAATAAGGTTTCTGTCGCTATATAAACATATAAAAGTATTTCTCGCATAACTGCGAACCTTTATCTACGCCTCTGAAAAACCGACAGACCGTCGGCCAAAGTCGGTAGTGGTAACTGTCAAAAATATACCGGTCAGTTTCAGCCAACCTCTCGTATGAAGTGTTTCTTGTTACAAGTGTTAAGAAACAGGTGAGCTACATTGTGTTATACTTCCTGAATAAAGTACCTTATGATCGTTTTTTTAATTTTTGTATGTTTGGACATTATTATTTTTGATATCTGTTTGTTAAAAACTGCATTTTCATAGCTTTCTTGAGAATTCTAAGGATGCCGATAATTGGTACATCAAAATCAGTGGCTGACCCAATCATCGGCAGCAGTGCCGATAATTGGTTGTATGCACCAGACTCTATTTAGGTCGATTTTAGCTTAGCTTTTAACTTATCCTGGTTAATGTTTGGTCATTAAATGCAAAATGAAGCGATAATATTTCCTACCAATTTTCGGCACCCCATATTCCTACTAGATATCATCTTTATTTTGACACAAAAACTGTGCCGATAATAGGAGCTTTTACGTGCCGGTAATTGGAGATTTTTTTTAGATCTAAATTATCTCACAATGGAGAAGAAAAAACGAATTCAATATTCTGTTGTAGCCATAAATGAGGCTGTTGCCGCTATTCAGTCAGGAATGCCATTTAAAACCGCTAGCAAAATATATAAGATACCCAGATCGACTCTACAAGATAAAGTTAAAGGTAGAACGCTTTTAGAGAAGAAATGTGGACCAGAAACGGTGCTGACGAAGGAAGAGGAAAATCTACTAGTAGCATGGCTATTTCGGATTGCAAACTGTGGATTTCCTGCAACGAAAATGCAGTTGTTAGAAAGTGTTCAGTTGCTAATTAAAGAACTAGATAGGCCTAATAATTTTACAGACGGAAAGCCTGGTCGAAAATGGTATGAATTATTTTTAAAAAGACATCCAGAACTGTCTGCAAGGATTTCCCAAAACCTCACATGTGCTAGAAACAGCCTAACAGAAAATCGTATTCGTCAATGGTTTATAGAAGTAGGGGCCTACTTAGAATCTACAAACAATCTTGACGTAACTTTTGACCCCAGTCGTGTATTCAATTGTGATGAAACGGCTTTTTTTCTCAGTCCGAAGGGAGAGAAAGTTCTAGTAAGAAAGGGAGATAGAACAGTTTACTCATTTGTAAGCAATGATGACAAAGAATGTCTAACGACTTTGGTTATGTGTAGTGCCTCCGGTCAAATTTTACCATCAATGATCGTTTTTAATTATAAAAGAATTCCCAAATCAGTTGTTGAAAAAGTACCAAAACACT